GAAATGTTATGTATTGTGCGACTGCAATGAAATGCTAATTTATTTAGTGGCTTTTAAAGTTCAACATTATAATTCTCTTTTTTTTCTTTATGCAACACAGTGTCTACTAAATCTTCTGAAAATGATCTATTTTAGAAAACAGAAAGATTTTTAACAAAGACCAAAGAGAGAATCTTGAAATATTCTCAAATCCTAAGATAAGGTTTTATGTTATGTTTGTCTGATTTTGTTATTCTTAATATTTTTGCATATTGTAATCTGGTCACAGCATAGTTAGTCTCTAATCTTGGTGTGAGCTCTCTCTGGGATGCTTATAAACACCATAAGCTTTAGCATATGATCCAACACACACATCCAAAGACTCCGTTTGACACCAAATCAGGCTCCACTCCATTGGTTCCCTTAAGTTAGCCAATCACAGCCAGGAACAGATGGGTTTCACAGATGTACCATCAGCCGCAGGTAGTGGAGACTGTCATAGTATTACATATAGTACAAGCCAACTATATTCTGTCCCATATCAGGATCAGTAGTAATATTGCTTTCTATGCTGAAATGATTTGTCAGTATTTGGTGAAGATGTGATTTTTGTGGTGGGGTTTGGTAACAGTTTGGTATAGACTGATGAAATATGAATACAGAATTTCTTTCTGCTCAACCTTTGAAATCGTTGAAACACTTGATTGTTGTTGTGTGATGCAAAAATGAGACCAGCGGTTTGGGGAAATGAGATCAAGGCTGAAGGCTGGAGACTGATTCTGCTTCTGCCTCGGTTTGCAGGAAGAAAAGTGCTGTTAGCAGAGAAAGGCTAGAGTTATTTTAATGTTAAGCCCAATTTAATCCAAGTATGCACAGTGTAATGTGGCCAATTTCATACCAAAATCACCCTTTGAAACTGTCTTCCTATAAAGGAAATAAGAAAATCACACCAGTAAGATGTAGAAAAGTCATCATACTATTAATGCTTTAAATGAGATTTCATTATCTCTGCCAGCCAGAACATTACATGCACTCATATCTCACCATGGGCATGAACTCATAAAAAGTACCACTTTTTTTACAGGATGGAATAATTATGAGAATTGCAACATTAATGTGTGTTTAAAATCAAGAAATCTTTGAAATTTATCTGGGTTGTTTTCAGTCTATATAGCATGGTAATAATGGTGATGATAATACAAAAACATCCCACTCTGTTGTTCACATGTTTAAGATGTTTATGTTTGACAAAACTAACCTGAGTGATGGCAAAAAGCAGTTTTCAAATTATGATTATATTTTTCCTTTAGAATTATTTTTATTTTTTTAAGAACATACTAAATTATCATGGAGCTTAGAAAGGAATATGCTTTCCTTAGCTAACCTAGGCTCGTTCTGTTTTGGATACAAATATATCTGAATTATAGAAACCCAAATCTCTGCTATCTACCACAGAAAAAAAAGAAACTGTAAATATGTCTTATCTGATTTAGTGGTTTGGTGTTAACTGGTAGAGCAATCCATGAGAGCTGACAGGCCTACATCTGTGCTCCCTCCAGAATGCAAATGGGAGAAAGCTGGATCTCCCAGGGTGAAGTATTGCTAAACTCACCTTTGGGGAAATGGAGTCGAGGAAATGAACCTTTTAAAATAGACGATCAGAGTGATGAAGGGAAGCTGAAAGGAAGAGAGAAGGCAGCGTTTAGATTGCAATCCACGCCGATCCAATGAAAATTTACATCCATGAGGAATTTTTTGAATTTTCCGCTGACTCAACCTTGGAAAGTGTAGCCGTATACCCAAACACACACGTTCTTTCAGTCCGCATTAACTGCCTGACTGGTTCCATGAGACAGCAGTAGATGCATAAAAAGCTCTCCACTGTAAATGGTTTTAAATACTTGTATAGTGATGATAGGCATCATTATGACTATATTGTAAGTGATAATGTCTCAAGCCCATTAAAGGGATGCATGCAGTAATTTAAACACAGGTTGAACTGATACTTCTTTCTTCGTTTTTTTATGGTCAATTTCAGAAGATCTCTGTCAGCTTTCAGTTTGTCTTCAAGTGTTAAAACCAGTTTTATTGTAAAGTACCTTAATAGAAATGTACCCCCCCACACAAAAAAAAAAAAACAAACAAACAAAAAGAACAGCCATATTTTCTAAATAACTTGTACCATTTATAAGAAGTAGCATGTGGGAGAAGCAGAGGTGTCAAGTAATGAAGAACCAACACTTCTTGACTGTACTTAAGTACATTTATTACCTTATTTACTCCATTACTTCTTTTTCTTCCTACTTCTGACTTCTTCTCCTTATCTGTACTTTCTATTCCTTAATTTTTTTTAAAACAAACTTTACTCGTTACTCTTCACTTCGATTTAATGTTTATAAGTATTTATTTCTTGTCATGTGCGCTATCCAATGCAGATCAATGGCTCCATCCACATCTAGTGAAAACTATTGTAATTGGATGAGTCACTCATTAGTGAGCTATTGGTCAAATTTGTGCTGACGCCAAAGTAAATCATCAGAAGCAAGCAGGTGTTTTTCAAACTGCAAAGCGAATTGTCTATGCCATGCTACAATGTCGGATTCAGAAAAAGATGTTGAAATGACTGAATAGTCAGATACAGGCGAGAGCGTATCGTCAGATGGAGACGGAAACCTCCCTCATCCTTGGCCCTATCTCAAAGAATTTTTCGAAATAGTCGAAAAATTGAGCTTTCAATTCATATAGTGGCATCTGGCTGTTTTTTTTAAAAGGTTACTTTA